GCCGGCCGGGCCGCCAGCGCCTGGGGCTGCAGGGCTCGGGCCTCCTGGAAGGATCTGGAACCTCCCTACCTGAGGACGCAGCCAGGGAAGAGGATCTCGTACTCCACTTGGTGGGAGGAGGCGCGGGAGATCTGCACATTGTGCTCGTACTGCTGCTTCAGCTGGTCGCGCACGTAGTAGGTCTTGGGGATGTCGCCCCCCCAGTTGAGCTAGAGACGGAGCGTGCGGTGAGCCGGGGTGTGCGTCGCGGGCCGGCCTCCGGGTCACCTCCAGCCCCCGGGGCCCGTACCTTGGATTTGCACTTGGGGTTTCCATCGGGATCGGTCATGGTGCCCCCATACTCCACAGGCACCTGGTCGGCGCTGATGTATTTCAGCAACACTTCCTTCCAGTTTGCTGGCAGGGGACGTAAGGAAGGAGAAAGAGGGGTCCCCCAAAACACAGGCATTCAGAGCACCGACGCCCCACAGCACATTCCCCTGTTCGGGGGCAGCCTTCGCCCGAGGATTGCCCTGCCCTGCCCCGCCCTGCCCTGCCCTGAAGTCCGGGGACCTGGGTCCCCATTGCCTCTGGCAGGTTCAGGTGGGAGTGAAGTGACCGAAGCACCTGAGAGAGCATGTAAAGCGCCCTGCACGTGGGAGAGTGGCTCACCCCCCCAGGGAGGTGATGCACACATCTGCAGGGCGACCAGGAGAGAACAAAGCAGGGAGGGAAGGGCACGCCCTGCAGAGGGAACAGCATGTGCGGCACAACCAAGCAACACCCGCCGCCCCGCCCCCAGCTTCCACTACACATAGTGCGCTCAATTGTGACCGAATGAATACACGCATCGCTGTAGGGCGACCCCTTCACATGGGTTCTCTTGGCTCAACCCCAGCCAGGATTTCACATCTGCTCCTGTTTTCTGGTTTTTGTTTTTTTTAGACCATTCAGCGGCCAAGATTTGGCGCTCTCTCTCTCTCTCTCTCTTTTTGGTAACCAAGCCCTTTCCTGACTAGGAGAGTTTGACTCTAGTGCAACCGATGCCGCGAACCACGTGTCCGCCATCCCAAAGTCCGCAACGAATACCAGCCAAGAACAATATTTTGATAGTGGAAACCTTTCCATGCTGACGCTAGAAGCCACACAAAGGCAGCAGCTCCAAGTCACGGGATGCAACCCGGTGGACTCTGCCGCCGACCCCGGCTGGAAACCCACAGAGGCCGTCCGGGCCTCCCAGCCCTGGGACGGCAGCGGCCGAGTCCGGGCACCCCCTGTGGTCTCGGGGCGATGTAACCTGTGCTGCTAAGCTCCAGCAGCCGGCCCGAGCGCCTTTCCTCCCTCCCCAGCGGCTTTCCTCCCTCCCCTGGTGAAGAGGCTGGGCCTTGGCCCGAGGCGGGTTAGGTTGAGAGGGTTTTAGGTGTGGGTGGGAGAACAGGCTGCACCTCCTCCATGGCCCTGCTGCCCGGAAGCCTGTCTCTCATGCTCACGGTGGGTGGCTGCAGCCGAGAAGCCAAAACCACCAGAGCCTTTGCGGGATTTTATATGTCTCCCCCAGCGCAGCGGCAGAGCTGGGATCAGGGCGGGGGAATTCTCCCCATCTTACAGGGAGCGTCACTGAGGTGACGAGAGGCAGAACCGAGACCAGAACCGAGAAGCCCCGGGCTTTCCAGGCTGCCTCCCTCCGCTCCCAGGACTCGCCGGCACACACTTGGAAATTCTCCACTTGCCACGTGAGGCCTGAAGGTGAACGTTGAGAAACCTCCCGCATCCCCGTTCCCCACGCCCACGCACAAGCCCAGAGGTGGCCTCGAGTCACCCATGATCTCCCTAGTCCCGAGCTATCCTTCTAGCCTCTTCTCCCACCACACACGCCACTTCCTGCTCCAGCAAACGGGCTCCTGGCTGGGCCCTGGCTGGCCTCTGATGGCTCCCACATGCCCAGGCTGGAGTCCTCCCCTCAGCTTCAGGCTCAAGTATCCCCAATATCTGTATATCTCACACTCTTTTTTTTATTGGTCTCAGAGAGGAAGGGGGAGAGAGAGAGAGATAGAAACACATCCATGATGAGAGGGAATCATGGATCGGCTGCCTCCTGCACGCCCCCCACTGGGGATCGAGCCCACAACCCGGGCATGTGCCCTTGACCGGGATGCGAACCGCGACCTCCTGGTTCCTAGGTTGACGCTCACCCACTGAGCCCCACCAGCCGGGCTCTCACACACCCTTGAAACTCAGCCTCAAGCTCATTCTTCCCCTTGTCTTTCTCCATTGACCTCGTTGTTGCGTCAGAGCGACTGCCCTGTGCAGACAACTCATGCCAGACACGAGGACGTCATTCTCGGTTCCTCTTCCTCCTTTCCTATATCCCAGCGTTCGAGTTCTGCTGCTTTACTTCCCAAAGTAGTCCTTGGCTCGTCCTCCTCGCCTCGCTGCCTCCGCTGCCCCCGCCTGGGCTTGCAACACCTGCTGCCTGGGTGGTGGCCACAGAGGCCACTTTTATCTGCCCTTCACCATCTCCCCAGTGGGCTGTGTCTCCATGTAGGATCTGACCCCGGTGCTCCCCTGCTCAGAACTCCCCGCTGGCTCCCAGGGCCTGCAGAGTCACGGCCCAGCCCCTCGGCCCCGGGTCCTCTGTGACCTGCTCCTGGCTCCCTCTTCAGCCTCATCCCCTGCCCTGCACTCTACGACTGCCTGTGCCATGGGGTGCGAGGCCTTTGCTCAATGCTGTTCCCTCTGCCGGGAAGCGCGCTGCCTTGCTTCATCCGGCTGCTCTTCCCCACGGCGCTCGCTCGGCCGAGGGAGGCCTCACCTCCTCCCTAGATCGAGTGGGCCTGGTGTCTCCCTTCCCCAAGAGGCCAGAGGCTGCAAGGGACTGGGTCCAATTCGCCTTCGTAGCCTTGGCACCTCGTCCAGGGCCTGGCACCTGGTAAGTGCTCTCAGCGAGTCGCCCCCCAGCTGAGGGCACCCTCTGCTCCCGTGACCCGCGTGGCACCTTCTCTGGGCCATCGCTAGCGCCTTTTCTAGTCTGTAGCATCGCTTCCTCCCTGAAGGTCCTCTCTCTCCTGCGGCTCTGTAAGCTCCCTGATGGCAGTGCCTGGCGTTTCATTCATCTTTGAATCTACGATGCTGGGCTCAGTACTTCCTTCTAGATTGTCTGAGAGCAGGGGCTCTTAGGGAAACAGATATGAAGCCCTCGCCGGTTTGGCCCAGTGGATAGTGTCTGCCCACAGACTCAAGGGTCCCGGGTTCGATTCCCGTCAAGGGCATGTCCCTCGGCTTTGGTTGGGGCCTGTGCTGGAGGCAGCCCATCGATGTTTCTCTCTCTCTTTCTCTCCCCGTCTCTTCCCCTTTCTCTAAAAAGTCAACGGGAAAATGTCCTCGGGTGAGGATTAACAATAGCTAAATAAAATACACTTACAGAAAGAAAACAGATATGAAGACCCTAGCCCAGCCCCAGCCCGCTCCCGGGCGCCACTGCCACCAGAGCAGCAGAGGGACCGTCCGCCTGCCCTGTGCCTGTGGCCCTCCCTCTAAAGCCATCCCAGGCGGGGCCGCAGCCCCCCTGCGCAGCTGAGAAGGGCTCCGGCTACTCACCCCCCAGGACCATGATCTTCTTGCGCGTTTCCTCGGTCAGGAAAGGTTTGACCAGATTGTAGGCCACAGGAAACAGCTTGGGGGCTGGAACAGAGGCCGACAGCGTGAGGCTGGACGCAGCGCCCACCCTGTCCCCAACGGCATCACCCTGGGTGCCCTATGTCAGCCGCACATGCCCGAGCGCCCTGGAGCCCACGTGGCAGCCCAGGGGGTGAGGCTCAGCACGGCCACCTCTTTCATGTCCAGCTTCGCCCTCTGCACAGCGGGCAGAGGCAAGTGGGCCTCCCCCGGCTGGCCGGCCGGGGGGCACTGGTGCCTCCTAAACGCTGTGTGGACCATCAGGGGCCCTCAGCCTCCCTGCTCCGGCTCCCGACGTGTCCCTCTCCCAAACCTGTCCGTGACTTCCTCACAGAGGTCCCCACTTACCTTTAATGACAAAGAGACGCTTCAGTTTTTCGGGATAGTTGTCCTCCACCATGCACAGAAACTGCGGGGACAGAGCACCGAGTCTGTGGGCTCAGACCTCCTCCAGGCCGGCCTGTGCCCCCATTGCCTCGCCCTTTAATGACAAAGAGACGCTTCAGTTTTTCGGGATAATTGTCCTCCACCATGCACAGAAACTGCGGGAACAGAGCACCGAGTCTGTGGGCACAGACCTCCTCCAGGCCGGCCTGCGCCCCCATCGCCTCGCCCACCCACAGGGCATCCCGGCAGAGGGGCCCCCTGCCCTACTCCCTGCCCCACCTCCCCCT